TCGCCCCCAATTGACCCCCACTGATGGCCTGCTCGCCCCCACCGGCCCCCCCACCGGCCTGATCACCTACAACTGCCCTCCCCTCTTGCCCCCTTACCACCTCTACCTCGGCCCCGCCACCATGGCTTTGTCCAGAAGAATGTCTGGAAGGTCTCCCAGTCTAATTAGCATATTACCCTAGTATAGATAGTTGATATATCCTACTTATTTCCTTAGCCTGAACTCACACCCTACTTCCACTCTCACTGAACCTTTACCGTCACTGTTTTGAACTCCCTGCTGGTAGTAGCTCTGAACTTGTCATTGTCATTTTTTGATGCGTGAGTCTTGATCTGCCTTGTGTGCTCGTCTCTCACTTATACATTGGGTGAAATATTTATGTGCATTTTTCAGATTTTTGTTTCTGGGAGACACTTCATGATATCTTTGGGAAAGAAAATTCTTGACTGAATGGCAATCTCTAACTATAATTTATTCTTTCTATTCTTATTTTCAAGGCAGTTAATTGGACTTTACACCATGGCTCACAATCCTAATATGACCCACATAAAGATTAATCGGCCAGTTACTGCCCTTCCTCCCCTTTGGGTAAGGTGTGACAGTTCAGATCCTGAAGGGACCTGTTGGCTAGGAGCTGAGCTTATCACAACAAGTAACAGCATCACAGGAATTGTCTTATATGCGGTCAATTGTAAAGGTGAGAGCTGGCTCTTACTACTTTTATGGGTGTGTGTGTATATGTTTATTTATTTGATAGTTACTGTTTTGCGGTTTTACTGAAAGTATATATTGTTAAGAGGGAAGTGCACACAATGGAATTCATGTTAGCCACCAGGAATCTAGTCTACTGTATAACTTGCAGCATGTAGGTGATATTCCAGAAACACCAGAAACAAATCTCTGAAAGTCTGGACAGGAGTTTATAGCTGTTTTGTTTGTGTTTCATTTTATTTGTATGGGTATATTTTTTGGAGTTTTCATTAGAGGATCAAAAATTGAATATAATGACAATATAATTCCAGTTTCATAGTAGACATACAGTTATATTTTTGATGATAGTATTGAGCTTTGTTTCTCTTTCATTCTTTTATAGACATTCCATTCAACTGTGATTTAAAACTTCAACTATTATTAGTGTTAAACTATGGTACCCTCAGAATTTGAATTTTCTAGCATTAAGATGTAATTTTGAATTGTATATTTAAATGTTTTTTTTATGTCCCATAGCTGATAAAAATTATTCTATAAATCTTGAAGACTTAAAAAATTCACATAAGAAAAGACATCAATTGTCTGCTGTAAGTATTTCTCTTCTCATATTATTTTCTTCTAACTGTATTGACCTGCCTTTCACTCCTAATATGACTACATATTTTTCTGTAGTACCAAAATGTTTGTATTTATTTTCCTATCAGCTAATGACTGAAATTTAAAATATATGCCCTCTTGCCTTTTAGCTAATCTTTGTGATTAAGAATAATTGTCTTATTTTTCCATTTGGGATAAAGTATACTACTTTTTCTTCTTTTGAGGAAAGAATCAAAGTAGTTTTGAAAATGGCCTTTGGTCATGTGAAAGCATAGCTGCTGGTGTGCTGGATGCCCTCTTTTCAGGTTACAGCCAGGGGCTTTGCCCAGTATGAGCTCTTGAAGTCCACTGCCTTGGATGATACAATCCCCACATCACAAACTACGATCACTTTGGATATTTCCTGGAGTCCTGTGGATGAGATTCTTCAGATCCCTCCACTCTCTTCAACTGCAACTCTGGTAGGAGTAAGCCCTGTTTTCTGTTGCGTTCACTCAGTGTGGGTTTACTTTTAACTAGCTTGTTGCTGGGGTTGCATGCCTCCTGTCCCACCCCCAGCCCCTGCCCTCCCTGAGCTCTGACAGCTTACCCCTGAAGTAGCTAGAGAAGCCAGTGGAGGTTTTACAGGTGATCTGATCTATCAATTGCTCACAGCACTGGAAGTATATAACTTAAGATTTTCCAGTGATTAATAGTCTCTTGAGTTGGGACTCAAGTGAAATTATCAAAGTGACATCATCTCTGCTATCCTTTTTATAGTTTTTTTTTATTTTTCATTATCGCTGCCATTTAAATTATATTAATTTCAGGTGTACAGCATAGTGGTTAGACATTTATATAACTTACGAAGAGATCCCCCTGGTAAGTCTAATACCTACCTGGCACCATGCACAGTTATTGCAATATTATTGACTGTGTTCCCTATGCTGTACTTTAAATCCCTGTCATCTGCTAGTCTTAAAATAGAGAGTGCATGTATTGGCAATACATCAAGAATTATTATATTACTAAGCCTTTCACCTTTTAACATTTCTACGAATCTGTCTTAGGAAGTTAATTAGAATTGCTAACAAAAATATATGTACAAAACTATTTGCAGTGATACAGCTGTGTTTCCAAAATATTCAAAACAAGTAGGATAATCACTAAAATAGATTTCCATGATGAAATATTACACATTCTTTAAAAATCTTTAAAGTGTCTTTAATAATAACAGGAAATGCTTATTATTAAGCAGACAAAAGCAGAAAAGTACAAAATTGAACATTTAGTAGAATCTCAACTATGTTTTTAAAAAATGTGTACACAGAAGCCTGGGTAGGGTTAATAGTGATTCCGCAGGGTGGTGGGATTATGGATAATCATATTCTTAATGCTTTTCCTTCAATAGAAATTTACATACAACAGAATTTTTTAATCCCCCCCTTTTTAAATAATATGTTGGAGTTGTAAAACCTTACCTCCAGGTAGGACAGCATACTTACTGGTTTAGTTAGTTTGTTTCTAAGGAGCATATATATTGGGGAGGCTGGGTTATTTTTGGTGTGTAGTAATGCTAAGTTTATCATTGAGTCTTGAGCTGTATTTATATTTCTCCTACTTGTCCTTTGGAAATTCAGTAGGAGAGAGCAGGAGAGCGTGTAAGAACAGTTAGTTCCATGTAGGTACAATTGTGGTATAGAAATGGAGTGTGATGGCCTGAATTTAAGTTACTATATCAGGATGGGCAGGATCTGTGGTATCTCTGAGATGTTCTAAATGAAGTTTTGCGCTACTTTTTCAATATATTAGTGCTTTATAAAATATATTTTTTAATGTGTGGGTAGTTTGAAATGCAAGTAACTCTGACCCTTATGCCAAAAAGATGGGATTACCAGTGAAAACTGACTTTGAGAACTTTTTAGAATATTAAAGTGGAATCAGGAGATCCCAGAAGTCCTTTGAATCATCTTCACAGAGAACTGAAATTTCTCCTTGTGAGTATCCTTCTGGAATTTGTTACTTGCATTAAATCTCATGTTTTCATAAGAATATTTGTTAATATCATTGTTATTTAGTTTTGTGTTCTTCAAAAATTGTTCCAAATGTTATATATGCATTGGATACTCTTGGCAATTTGGGCAGCTTAATTTTACTAGTACTATGTGGTAGTGGTTCTTACATTTAAAGAGAGCATTAGTTAGATAATTAATAGCTACCATTCTTCTGCCTTTTTTACTGGAGTGTTTGGTTTTTATTTATATGATGGATTTCTCTCTTTCCAGGTGGGTTAGATGCCAATTTATTTCAAATGCATATATAATCTGCTTGTTAATAACTTGGGTTTTGATTGATGCTAAAGAATAATGAGCATGTGTTTCAAGAATTTTATGTTTCAGTAATTTTAGCTCCACTCTACAAATTGAATCTCAAGGGGGTGCCTCATTTTAATGCAGTAGAAATTCCAAGTGTTTTAGCCTGGCATACAAAGTCAGTTATATCCAGTCACTGCTCTACCTTTTTCTTTTTTCTAGCAGCTTTTTTGAGATATAAGTTACATTTCATAAAATTCACTTGTTTAGTGGTTTTTAACATACTTATAGAGTTGTACAGCCATGACCATCTTTAATTTTAGATCATTTTCATCACTCCCAAAAGAAACCCTATACCCATTTAGCAGTCACCTCTCACTCCCATCAGCCTCTAGCAACCACCAATGTACTTTCTGTAGTACTTTGTTCCTTTTTATTGTTGAGTAGCATTCCATTGTATAGATATACCACATTTTGTTTATCCATTTATCAACTGATGAACATTTTAGTTGTTTCTACTTTTTGATTATTCTGAGTAATGCTGCCATGAATAGTCGCGTACATGTTTTTGTGTGACATATCTTTTCACGTCTCTTGGGTGGAATTGCTATGTCATGTGGTAACTCTAATCTTTTGAGAAACTGCCAAACTATTTTCCAAAGTGGCTGCACCACTTTACATTCCTACCAGCAGTGTATGAGGGCTCAATTTCTCCATATCCTTGCCAACACTTTGATATTTTCTGCTTTTGTTTTTGTTCATAGTCATCCTAGTGGAGATGAAGTAGTATCTTGTTATGTAGCATTGCCCTGATGGCTAATGACGTTTAGTATCTTTTCATGTTCCTATTGGTGCCTACTTATTTCTTTAGCTTAATCTAACACCCTACTTTCGCTCCCACTGAACCCCCAACCCTCGCTATATTGAGTTCCCTGCTTGTAGTAGCTTGATCCTATCACCCTTTGTCACTTTCTGGTGTGTGTGTGTGTGTGTTGATCTGGTATGCCCTTTTACCTCTTTTCTGGGTGAGCTCTCTGTGACATCTTTTGCTTAGGATGATTGCACTGACCTCTCAGAATGGCTTATGGTACCTGTGCTTTGTGCTGTTATAGAACTCAACACACACCTCTTGTTAGAGTGATTATCAATCACAGTGATTTGTTTACTTATCTCTCTTCCTTACTGGACTTCAGTGCCAGGTACCCTGCTGTACCTTCAACATCTAGTGTAGTACCAAGCATTCTAATACATTTCCTTCATATTATTTTTGTGTAAAACTTGGTACTTTTTCTACCTGTCTCACTTTTCTTCTTTTAAAAAAAAAATATATATATATTCTATTGATTTTCTACAGAGAGGAAGGGAGAGGATAGAGAGTTAGAAACATCGATGAGAGAGAAACATCGATCAGCTGCCTCCTGCACAGCCCCCACTGGGGATGTGCCCGCAACCAAGGTACATGCCCTTGACCGGAATCGAACCTGGGACCCTTCAGTCTGCAGGCCGACGCTCTATCCACTGAGCCAAACCGGTTAGGGCTCACTTTTCTTCTTAAAAGTTCCTCTTCCAAGATCATTATTGTGGGCTGCCATCATACTTCTACCCTTATGTCTCTCTGCCCTTCTCTGTCCACCCTGGCGGACAGCTTACACATTCAGTGATTTGACTAATGCCTTTATGAGGGAACTCCGGATCCCTTCTTTCCCTTTTTCTTTTTAATCCTCACCCGAGAATATGTTTTATTAATTTTTAGAGAGAGAGGAAGAGAGAGAGAAACATCGATCAGTAGCCTCTCGTGCATGCCTTGATCAGGGATCAAACCCATAACCAAGGTATGTGCCCTGACCAGGAATTGAACCCACAACCTTTTGGTGTACAGGATGATGCTCTAATCAACTGAGCCACCCAGCCAGGGCCAGATCCTTTCTTTAAGCTGATACTAATTCCCATCTTTCCTACTTCCACCAAATTATTTCTAACTTGAGTACAGGGCTGTGGCCTCAAACTCAGTACAGTATATCCAAAATGAAACATGAAATCTTCTCCAGACTAGATCTTCAGACTAGAAACCTGTATATGATCCCACCATTCCTTCATTTCTCTTGACCCTTGAACAATGTGGGGGTTAGGGGCACATACCCCCTGCATGGTTAGCAATTCATGTATAACTTTTTACTCCCACAAAACTTAACTGCTAATAGCCTTCTGTTGCCTGGAAGCCTTACTGATAACATAAACTGTTGATTAACACATATTTTTTATGTTATATATATTATACTATATTCTTATAATAAAGTAAGCTAGAGAAAAGAAAATTTTTAGAAAATCATAAGGAAGAAAATATACTCTTACTGTATTTATTGGGGGGAGGAGGGGCGGATCTGCAAATAAGTGGACCCGTGCGGTTCAAACCCATATTGTTCACTGGTCAGCTGTGTTTTACTTTAGTAAGAACTGTTTCTACCACCACCACTTACTACCACAGCTGGAAGCTGCCACTCTACTGTGTGCCAAACATGTGGTGCTAGATGGTTTAGTTATTTTGCCTAAGGCATCAGCAACTGGTAAGTGGGAGAGCTGGTTCAAAACTCATTCAAATACATGTCTGTCTAACTTGAAAGTCCATGCTTTGTGGCCCTGACCAGGCAGTTCAGTTGGTTAGAGCATCATCCCAATATGCCAAGTTTTATTTGATCCCCAGTGAGGGCACATACAAAAATCAACCAATGACTCTGGCCAGTGTGGCTCAATTGGTTGAGTGTTGTCCCATGCACTGGAAGGTCACCCACCGGTTAGATTCCCTATTGGGGCACATGCCTGGGTTGCAGGTTCAGTCCCAGTCATGGTGCATACCAGAGGCAATAGATGGATGTTTCTCTCTCTTTCTCTCTCTCTCTCTCTCTCTCAAAATCAATAAAAACATTTGAAAAAATCAACCGATGAATGCATAAATAAGTGGAACAACAAATAGATGTTTCTCTCCCTCTCTCTAAAATTAAAAATAAGAAGGAAAGTCCATGCTTTGTCCATGTAATCTCCCTTAAATTAACAGAATCTTAGATATGCACAGGGACATAGTCTCTCCAAGTTTAGTCCTCTGTATTTTTATAAATGGGTAGGATTTTTTTCTTTTGTTTTATTCCACGTATATACCTCTATACCTACCTACCTATCTCTCTCTCTCTCTCTCTCTCTCTCTCTCTCTCTCTGAAATATAGTGTTCTTTTCTTCCTTCGAAGTTTCTCTCACTGTGCCCATCTTAGTTAAAGCTCTTATCTCCCTCTTGGACCACTCTAATGACCATTCATTGTTTCTCAACAGGGACACTATCAGCATTTCAGCATTTTGGGCAGGACCATGCTTTGTGGTTTGGGACTTTGTACATGTTGCAAAATGTTTAACATCCTTGGCCTCTACCAAATTAAATGCTTCTGTACCCCCAGATATTGTGGCACCAAAACTTATCTGCACATTTTTCAAGTATCCCCTGGGGGTAGAGGGTGAGATCACTTTTGTTGAGAAATACTGTATTTTCTCTTTTCCTTAAAATCCTAGGTATTTCTGATGGAGGAATTCTTAACTACTTGATCATGTCATTTTCTTGCCAAAAAATCAACAGTGGGTGTTGTCTTCCATGTGAAATAAAAAATCTTTTTAAGTTTAACATCACTATTCCTGTGTAGCCCCCATTCCTTGTAATCTTCTAGTGTCCTCTAGGTGTTATACTCCACTGGTTGGAATCACCCCACCCTCTTCATCTCCTTCCCTGCTCTGTAGCTGACAGTTCTCACATTTGGATTGGAGTGGAGTTGAGGTTTCACATTGTTCCCCTGGCTATTCCAGGACATCTTGACCTCCTTTCTCCAGTTTAAATTATTGTATGTATAGGCACATGCATTTATATTATTACTAGAGGTCCGGTGCATGAAATTCGTGCACAGGGGGAGGTTCCCTCAGCCCAGCCTGTGCCCTCTCGCAGTCCAGGACCCCTTGGGGGATGTAGCAGTGGGCCAAGCGGCAAGTGGCCGGGGAGGAGCCCAAACCGGGGCCAGGTGCTATGCCGCTTGCACTCATCCTGGCCTGATGCGCCTGCTGCCGCCGCTCAGTAGTGCTGCTACAGAGACGGGAGAGGCTCCTACCACCACAGCTGTGCTCCCTAGCCATGAACCCGACTTCTGGTTGAGCGGTGCTCCCCCTGTGGGAGCACACTGACCACCAGGAGACAGCTTCTGCATTGAGTATCTGCCCCCTGGTGGTCAGTGCGCATCATAGTGACTGATCGTTCTGGTCATTCCGCTGTAATGGTCACTTAGGCTATTATATTTATAGACTAGAGGCCTGGTGCACGAAATTTGTGCACAGGTAGGGTCCCTGGGCCTGGTCAACGATCAGGGCCAATCAGGGCCTCCTTTCCCTCGGCCGCCAGCTGCCGGCCGGGGCCTTCCTTCATTCTGCGCCACCCCCTGGTGGTCAGCACATGTCATAGCGAGCTATTGAACTTCTGGTTGAACTCCTGAGGGGAAAATTTGCATATTAGGCTTTTATATATATACTAGAGGCCCGGTGCACAAAAATTTGTGCACTTTTAAAAATAGATTTGAGAGAAAGAAACATCAGTTTGTTGTTCCACTTATTTATGCATTCATTGGTTGATTTTTATATGTATCCTCACTAGGGATTGAACCTTCAACCTTAACATATTGGGATGATGATCTAACCAACTGAGCAACCCGGCCAGGGCCTATATTATTTTTATGTAAATTTCCAATTTGTTTTACATTTGTTGTTCCCAATTATTTCATCTGTATTACTAGTCCTTAACCAAAATTACAAGCATCTTTAGGGCAGGCTCATCAGTCTTGAATCCTGTAGCATTTATACACATGGCATCTTAGTTCAGAACATCATCTTTGGGTGTATGTCCTGGTACTGTCAGTTACTAATTGTATGACCTTAGCAGGTTATCTTAGCCTCTTCTTAATAAAATGAAGGTAGATAGTAATATCTGCCTTGTAGAGATTTTGTGAGGATTAAATAACATACTACATATGAAACACTAGGACAGTCCTGGCATGTGAGTAAATACTCAAGAAATAACAATATTATTAAATATATTCTTATTGATTAAATTGTGCTTTCTGCTAATAAGCTTTTGGGTTTTTTAATCTCCTATAGGTTTTGGCTATTGGTTTGAGGACTGGTGTAACCGAATGGCCTGCACCTCTGGAAGCAAAATCTGCTGTTGAACTTGTGCAGGAGTTTCTAAATGGTGTTTGTTTTCCTAATCCACGCTTCTACATTGTTTATTTTTCTTAATTGGGAATTTATACTTGCTATTTTTAAATGAAGTTGTCTTTTTAGGCTTGGTATTCTTTTTGGTTGGGATATATACTAGTAAACTATGAAGTCTGTCATGGTCAGAGGATGGCTTTCATTCTGAATTGCTAATGGTAACAGCCTAAGTAATTTTAAGAATAAGATTTAATTTAAAATTAATATACCGCAACCATATTTGAGATTGTAGTAGAAGAGGGGTGCAACAGTAATCTTGAGCACCTACCAGATGCCCAGCATTATGTGTTGGAGCTTTCACTGTACCTCAGTTCATCCTCACACCCCTACCCAGGGGTTATCTATTATGACTTCCATTGGAGAGTTAAGTAATTTGCTAAAATCCCCAGTTATGCTTTTATTGTCCTCATTTGTCATTTGAAAATAGGATTAGGATGGAAATAATTTTGAAAGCAGAAAAATAAAATCCAGAATTAATAAGCTTTGCCACTTTCTAGACTTAAATAAGCTGGATGGATTTGGTGATTCTACAAAAAAAGACACAGAGGTAAGTGATAGCATTTACATTGTACACTCACTGAAATCTAAATATTTTTTAAAAAACACTTTCCACAAAGATAGTCCTTTGTCATTACATTATTTACTCATGTGTTTGTACATATTGTATGTTAATTTATTAATGATATTTTTCAGCAAAAAATACATATTCAAGAACAAAAAAGAAATGTACACTGAAATAGCTTCTAAATGTGGTTGTATTATCTTTCATGCTGTACCATCCATGTCAAATAGATCTGGTACATACAGCATGGGCAGTGTTTTGAAGGTAGTCTTGTTTTGGTCTTTAATGTCAGCATTGTTTTCCTTAAGGCAGCGGTTCTCAACCTGTGGGTCACGACCCCTTTGGGGGTTGAAGGACCCTTTCACAGGGGTCGCCTAATATCAGATATTTACATTACGATTCATAGCAGTAGCAACATTACAGTTATGAAGTAGCAGCGAAAATAATTTTATGGTTGGGTCACAACATGAGGAACTGTATTTAAAGGGCCAGAAGGTTGAGAACCACTACCTTAAGGGCTGATAAATAGTTTTAAATAGAACCAATACATATGTATTATTAATTCTCAACTGTAGAGAAGTAGAAATGAATATGTTAATATACTGTAACATGGTATACCTTTAGTATATTAATATAAGACAGCGTGTTAATATGCCAGATGTGATATTATTAAATTAAGCTAATTGTGTTGTCATTTGACAAATGGGAAAAGAGAGACAACAGTAATGTAATTAAAAATTTTTACATGAAGGAAAGTCAATGCTTGTCTTTAGGCATCACATTTTAAAAACAATTTTAGGCCCTGACTGGTTTGGCTCAGTGGATAGAGCGTTGGCCTGCAGACTGAAGGGTCCCAGGTTCGATTCCCGTCAAGGGCATGAACCTTGGTTGCGGGCACATCCCCAGTAGGGAGTGTGCAGGAGGCAGCTAATCGATGTTTCTCTCTCATTGATATTTCTAACTCTCTATTCCTCTCCTTTCCTCTCTGTAAAAAAAATAAATAAATAAAAATAAAAATAAAAACAATTTTAGAGGCTCAGTTTTTTACTATTGGTTTGTGTCTTCATTAGTGAATGAAGTTGTAGAAAAATTCATTCACATCTTTCTTTGTGTGTGTTCTTGGGTCAATATTTTCTCAGAGCTGCATTTGAAAGCTTATTGGCCTTAAACTATATCACTTTTGAAAAAAAAAAAATAAACTGAACTTTGCTGCATAGCTCAGTAGTTGAGCTTCGACCTATGAACCAGCAGGTCATGGTTTGATTGCTGGTCAGGGCACGTACCCGGGTTGCAGGCTCGATTCCCAGTGTGGGGTGTGCAGGAGGCGGCTAATCAATGATTCTAAAAAAAACTAAACTGAGTATTCTCTGGCACTTCTTTTTCAGACAGTGAAGCCCGACAGTACTGCATTTGATCGTTCCATCGAGTGTCTTTTCACAGTACGGGGCGATCTGGATTTTGCTGAGCAGCTGTGGTGCAAAATGAGTAGTAGTAGGTGTTCATCGTGATTGTACAATACAACTTTTTCCTGTTACTTCTTAGGCTTACCTTTAACTAAGTCTTTTGGAAATAACACAGTATGTTCTACTAGTTTTGTGTGCAAGTTTAGTGCCTGTTTCACAAATTCATTTCTAGTAACGCACTGGCACATTCTACTCAAGAATTGTACTAATAATATAAAGCTGTTCATAGAATATCCTTTTCTTCTGCTAAGATTTACCAGGTAGATGGTTTTTAAGCTGTGTTTATATGAATCAAAACATACACCTTAGTGAAATTATAATTATTAGAGAAAGGAAAAGATATTCCTTAATATTTTACTAAGTGTGTTATTTTGTGGCAGTTTAATTTCTTTCTTTAGAAATACATTGTCTTTTGCCTTTTTCTTTCCCATTCCTCCATCCATAAAATACAGATTCTTGTCTTCCTCTTTGTGTGTCCTTAAGATTAATGACATATATCATCTGCAGAAATACCATGAACATTATGTTAGACTGACTTGTTTTTCAAGGTGTGATTTCATATCAAGACTTGGTGAAGTGTTTCACATTGATCATTCAGAGTCTACAACGTGGTGACATACAGCCATGGGTAGGTTTAGTAGTGTGTGTTGAATGTTTTTTCAACATGATGGTTAAAGACATAGGCTCTGGAGCATACTCCCTGAGCTTGAATTCTAGCCCTGTGACTCACTAGCTGGGCAGATTCCTTTATTTCTCTGTGTGCCAGTTTCCTCATCTGTAAAGCAGGAGTAGGAATAATACTTACCTCATAGTGTTGTTTTAGGATTAAATAATTTAATTCATGTAAAGCTCTTAGCACCTAGCTCATAGGTAAGTGCTTGGTATTTGTAAGCTACTAATATTGTCATTGTTACTATTGCTATGAATTATAATTCTCATATACTAATGAGGGTACAATTTGGAACACTCTTAAAAGCAATTTTCATAATGATCCTGCAAATGTGTCATGCCCTTTGAATCAATAATTCTTTTGTTAAGATCCATCCTAAGCTCATACAGAAATGTGTATCAAGATTTTATGTATTAGAATAGTCATTAGAGCTTCATTTATGGTAGAAAAAAATGTAAGTAACCTAAATTTCCACTATAAATGAAATGACTAAGTAAATAATAATATAACCACATGTGGCACATGTAATAGTTGCTAAAAATGATGCTGACAGATATGGAGAAATTCTTATAATGTTCAGTAAAAAGACAAGAATATACACTATTGTATTAAAGAATATAAATTTTGGAGAGGAAAAGGTAGAAGCAAATAAATGTTTTAGCAGTACTTTTGGTATTAGGGTTACAAGTGAGTTTTTATAACTGCATTATACATTTCTATACTTTATGAATTTTCCATAATGAATTTGTGCTTTTACAATCAAGAAGAGATTATGTAAAAAGCTAGAAACAAAAAGAGTCCTTATTTAATAGGAATTATCTATACTAATAAAAGGGTAATATGCTAATTAGGGCGGATGTCTTCCAGACGTCCATCTGGACAAAGCCACAGCGCTGTGAGGCCTGGGGCTCACAGCAGCCGTGCGCCCTAGCGGCTGCGAGGCCCAGGGCTCAGGCCTCGCAGCTGCCGCAGCCTGGCAGTGGCAGCAGCAGCAGCAGCGGGGTGATGGGGGTGGTGCCTTTCCCTGATCAGCTGGGTTGCCTCCTGCAGAGGGAGGCCAGACCATGGGGAGCAGGCCTAAGCTGTCAGTAGGACATCCCCTGAGGGCTCCCAGACTGTGAGAGGGGGCAGGTTGGGCTGAGGGACCCCCCTCCAGTGCACGAATTTTTGTGCACCGGGCCTCTAGTTTTAAATAATGTCACAGCTAATTCATGCCTATAAAGCTTTGAAACTTTCATAAGTGTGAACAAATGTACACTCCAGAGCAAAGACATGCAAACTCTAATTAATTGGGCATTAGTGATTCTAGACAGTGTAGTCTTGGCCATTGGATTTTTTCCTTGAGACTTTTTTTGTGAAGTGTTTACCAGTATATCCCTGCCAGGTGCAATGAGTACAAAGTGAAAATAGTTTAAAAAAAGAAAATGCAAAAAATCGTGATGAAAATTAGAGATCATAAGAAGATAGTAGTGAGAAAATATTTTAGATATGTTTAAAATTAATTGTTTAACATTTGGAACATATGTCAGATCTGTAAGTTTGCAGCTCTTTTTAATTTGCAAGTGATCAAGGTAGTATGTTGGATATCGTAGTCAACAAGGAGTTCCTTATGGCATGTTCATGGACCATTGAGAGAGTTTTCTGCCACAGTAGATTTTTAGTGTAGTTGAAAATGTTTGATTTGGGCAAAGATGCTCAATAGCACTTAGCCAGGAGAAGAGAATTCCTAGTTATAAAGCTTCAAAGGACCAGCTCTGCCTTCTCTTTGGTGGAAGTGCATCTGGGAGTAATAAGTTTAAGCCCTTCTTAATGGCTTTGGACTTGAACAAATGAGGCAGGAAAGGCACCTTAGAAAGTAACTTGGGGCTTTTATTCAAACAATTTATAGTACAAGAGATTAAAGATGCAAGTTTATAATTTTTAGCTTGTAGCTAATGTAGTTTGCTTCTCTTTTGCTTATTGGATTTATTTATGGCTTTATAAAATTTTCTTGATTTCTAGCTCCATAGTGGAAGTAACAGTTTACTAAGTAAGCTCATTCATCAGTCTTACCATGGAGCCATGGACACAGTTTCTCTCAGTGGGACTCTTCCAGTTCAGATGCTTTTGGAAATTGGTTTGGACAAACTAAAGAAAGATTATATCAGTTTTTTCATAGGTAAGTACCTGCCCAGCTCAAAAAATTAAAAAGTGCACCACAGTTGTCAGCCCATAGGTATTCTCAGATTTTATCTTTCTACTTGTCCCTAGTCATTTGTAGTTCTGGCTTTGCCCCTGGTTCACTATGAAACAAACACTTTCATTCTCTGGCCCTTTGGTTTCTCCCTCGATAAAGGTATTAAATTAAAGATACTTATAATGCTTGCTTGATTGTTTTTAGTTGAGATTCTACTCTTTTTGAGATTCTATGAGTATAATGTAATTAATAAAAACAATTTTATGAGATGCTGTTTTAATACCCAACACTTCATTGTTTTTATCAGGGCAAACTGTGATCATTTTTAGAATAAGTAATAGTATGTCTTTATGGTGTAATGTGCCAGAAAATTTGACTATTTTTCAGAAACTATTTAGCTTGAGCATCTCTTTTATATATTAACTATGAAAATTTTTACTTAGGTTCTTTAACATGCAACAGATAATACCTAAATCTTATTTGCATGTATGTTTTTTTCATAATAGGTCAAGAACTTGCATCTTTGAATCATTTGGTGAGTTTATTTTTTTAATCAAAATGTGGTTTTTCTTTTATTCATTCACTCTATATATAATTATTAAGTGCCTAATCTGTGTCCCTCTATCCTAGGTCCTAGGAAACAGATAAATGAGACAGTCAGTGCCCTTAATGACTATTGTCTAGTAACTAGACAGACAAAAAAGTAGCCCTTTTAGTATCATTTATCATTTCTTTAAATTTATCTTACTGACATACAGCTGTATCCTGCTGAAGCCAGTGTACTCTCACAACTTCCATTTATCTAAATTGGTAAGGGCCTGGCCGGTGTTGCTCAGTGGTTCAGGATCGACCCACGAACCAAGAGGTCACCAGTTTAATTCCTGGTCAGGGCACATGCTTGGGTTGCAGGCTTGATCCACAGTAAGGGGACATGCAGAAGGCAGCCAATCGATGTTTCTCTCTCATTGATGTTTCTATCTCTCTATCCTTCTCCCTTCTTCTCTCTCTAAAATCAATAAAAACATTTTAAAAAACGTATACAAGTAAAAATGGTTAGGGAATGCCTTTCTTTATAGGCCCTATAAAGGAATTTTTGCTTTATATTCTCTTGACTCATTTCTATTACACACAAATTCCAACAAATTTACAATGTTCTTTAATATATTGATTCAAAAGAGACTTCTGGGCTTCAGGGTCATGATTACAAACTTCTGTATTTTTCTAGTGTCTTTATTTAGGAAGTTTAGGAAATTAAACAGCATCTCTACTGACCCTTGACATTCGATGGAAGATCCTTTTAAATATGTTTTTATTGACTTCAGAGAGAGGGAGAGAGAGAGAGAGAGAGAGAGAGAGAGAGAGAGAGAGAGAGAGAAACATCAATGATGAGAGAGAATCATTGATCAACTGCCACCCACACACTCCCTACTGGGGATCGAGCTACAACCCCTGGCATGAGCCCTGACTGGAAATCAAACTATGACCTCCTGGTTCCTAGGTCAACAGTCAACCATCGAACCACACCAGTGGGGCTTAGAAATGAATCTATAGTACCAATTCATTTGTCATTTGTCTCAGAAAAATACAAGATAAAAAACTCTAGCAGGTCTGTTGTGCAAAGTAAGATTCAACTGGATTCTTTAGAGGTTTAATTTTTGCTTTTCAAATTTTAAACATTTATATATCTTTTTAATGGAAACATACGTGTGTGTGTGTGTGTGTGTGTGTGTATGTTAATGGGGGGCCCGGATGGGAATGGTTTGATAAATTTTTTTAAAATTAGAAAAGGGGCCACACTATTAAAAGTTAGAATACTTATAGGACAAATATACCCTTAATCTCATCACCCAAATATTAGTACTCTAATTTTTATGAATTCCCCGCTAGTCATTTCATATGCCTGTTTTTTAAAAATATGGTTTTGACTCCAAACTTTTGACATAATAGTCCTTAAACTTGAAAATCTCCTAGAAGGATTGTTAAAATGCTAATTTCTAGGCCCCAGTGACTGGGTAAGTCCAGGGCTCAGTAATTGTCTTTTTAAACAAGTCATCTCCTATTCCAAATAACTGATGTTTTCCCCTACTATGTTAGTTTTCTATTCTGCATAACAAATTACCACAAACTTAAACGCTTAAATGAACACAAATTTATCTTATAGTTTCCAAGGGTTGAGAGTTGGGCACATTTTAGCTGGGTCTTCTCTGCTCAGGTCTTCACAAGGCTGAAATCAAGGTGTCAGCTGCATTTTCAGAGGCTTAAGGGCGAGATCTACTTCCAAGTTCCTTCATTTGTTGTTGATAGAATTCTTTTCCTTGTGACCTATGACAAAGGTCCCATTTTCTTGCTAACTGTTGGCTCAGGATCAGTCTTAGGTCCCAGAGGTTGTTTGTGGGTCCTTGCCATGTGACCCTCTCCAAACATTACAGGCGGTTTGTTTCTTCAGAGCCTGTGGGAGATATCTCTAATGCATCTTCACCTTTTAAAGGGCTCACCCGATTAGGCCGTAGTAATGATTGTGATCTCTCTTTTGATTGATTAAATGTCCATCAGTTAGTAACCTATTCACAGGAGTGACATTCCATCATATTCAGAGGTCCTGGCTCACGCAAGGGTAAGGGATTATACAAGATGTGTACTCCGACGGGTGGCAATCTTGGGGACCATTGTAGAATTCCACCTACCATATTTGCCAAGGGCTATTTCCTTAGGATGGGTTCTCAGAAATAGTATTAGCCTGAGCATTTAATGATGCTTGGCATACATTGCCAAATTTCTTTTCTAAAGGGTTGTACCAATTTACCAGTGACATATGTGAGTGGAAGCTTATCCATACACTTGCTTAATTTCTTGGTACTTCAGGTTTACTACCTATTTTAGAGGTGGACACTTCCATCAACATAGCAAGAGTATTGAAGTTAAGAATTATCTGGATTTGCCATTTAGTCCATCTGGAGAGGTTAGTGCGTAGAGTAGCCACCCTCTTGGGCCTCCTTGAGTGAAGCATTTCTGTGAATTGCCTTCACCAGAGAATATGTAGGATGGTTTGCTGAGAACATCCTCAGTGAAGACTTTATTTACAGATTAATTAGAGAAATACTGTTGAAAGGTGGTATATTCTATCTAGCTGCCTCCTGTCTTTTTTCCCACCTATGAATTAAGTATCTAGACCAGCCGTGGGCAAACTACGGCCCGCGGGCCGGATCCGGCCCGTTTGAAATGAATAAAACTAAAAAAAAAAAAAGACCGTACCCTTTTATGTAATGATGTTTACTTTGAATTTATATTAGTTCACACAAACACTCCATCCATGCTTTTGTTCCGGCCCTCCGGTCCAGTTTAAGAACCCATTGTGGCCCTCGAGTCAAAAAGTTTGCCCACCCCTGATCTAGACTTAGGTTTAGCAGGCATGCCCATATTCTTTCTAAAGATTTCCCTTAACTAATTCTCTATTTTGCTTATACTTTTTTTTTTCATTCTAGGAATATTTCGTTTCTCCGTCAGTAGATATACAAGAACAAGTTTGTCGTGTTCAAAAACTTCACCATATTCTAGAAATAATAGTCAGTTGCAAGCTTTTCATTAAACCTCAACATGAGCTTCTCTTTTCTTTAACACAGTAAGTATTTCTCTGTTGTTTTTACTAACATAACATTCTCTTCTGAAATAGTTGCAGCCAAAATATGTGCCTTTTTATTATTGGTTAGGATAGAATCTGCACATCCTGTCTTCACAGTAGCAGAATGGTTCTAAGTCACTGTCATAGGAAGAAAAGTCTTTGAGTTCAGAAGGAATAAGTTTAACACTCGACTCTAGCACTTCCTAATTTCCAGAGGAAGTTTCCTTTCACTGCATCTTGTTTTCTCATCTATAAAAGGATCTAATAACCTCATGTGTTTGTTGTCAGGATTAAGTGATATAATGTATATGCAGTACCTGTCACTTAATAGGTGCTTAATAAATATTAGTTCCTTGTCTTTTTTTTTACATTTTTATACATTTGGGCCAAACTAATTGCTAGCCATTTATATGGTAACTAAATGGAATTAAATATTACCAGACCTCTGTCAACAGCATTACTGTAATTTAGAGATTTCTGTCCATCAGTTTGACTAAAATTAGTTTGAAATAATTCTCATACATGGATTGCTGGTGTCTTGTGTGTATTAGAGTCTCAAACCAGAAATAAGTGAACCATCCAGTGGCAGAATTGAGTTTTTTTTTCCCTGTGAAAGGAAATGTACCTCTGCCTTTTCCAAAATTAGAATTTGCCTCAGTTGTAAAGGGAAAGGTACTAAGAAATGGTTATTGTTTTTTTCTCCATTAAAGATAAGTATATAAATAAGTTAATTCTTTAATTCCTCAGACTCTGAAAACCATGGAGGTTGTATCTTTCTCTTTTGCCTCTTTGTTTTTTTCTTTCTCCCCCCCACCCCAAACACACACTTAAGCCTTTATTTGGGCTCAATTTAAATGTATTTTATATTTACGAGAAATATGTCTACTACTAATTTTTTAAAAGCAAATGATATTTCCATCAAAAAAGAAAAAAGAGAGATAACCAATGTTTTGTTGGGAGTAGGGATATTGTATGTTTGTTTTTTACTTTTGTGTCCCTGAAATTATTCTGTTGTTGATGTTATGGTTAGTAGCATCCAATAAAATGGTTCCCTTATGCATTTTAGACTACCAGAAAGCCTTTATCTCCACGTGGCATTTTTTTCCAAAATAGGGTCTTTTTTTTACTTTTATAGATCCTGCATAAAATATTATAAACAAAATCCTCTTGATGAGCAACATATTTTTCAGCTGCCAGTCAGACCAACTGCTGTAAAAAATTTATATCAAAGGTAAGCAATTTAATAATTAAATTGTGCTTTAAGTCTGGTCATGATTCCAGGCAGTTTCGGTGTCTGTTCCCCAGGACCCAGAGCTGCTGCTCCTCTGAAACTTTCATCATCTTACTCCCTCTCTGCTCATAGTCTGATAATTCCCCCTCTGCCCTGCCTTCTCCCAGACCTTTTGTCTACTCTCTTTTGACCATTGAGCCTCTAGTCTTTCATTTTTCTCTCAATTTGTAATTTCTTTGCTGAACAGGTAGAAAGTATAACCAGAAAGGAAATGACAGTGGGAAAAGAGTGATCAGGGGAATGATAAAGTCAAAGGTATGGCAGTGGGAGTGAGAGAAGACTATGGGATTGAGGAGGTAGAGAACTGTGAGGCTAAGAAGACAGATTAGCCATCCATGTGAACACTTGAGTTTGCCTCAAATGATGGTCTCCCCTTAGCATATAATACACTTGAACTTTCTCTTATACTAAAGTCACTCTTATTTATACCCTCCCTCTATTTAGTTCCCTCTTATTGAAACCCCAGCACTCCCATTGAAACTGCTCTGGCAGGGGCCATCAGTGGCCTTCTTTTTTCTTTTAAGATTTATTTTATTTTATTTTCTTTAGGTTTTAGGAGGAGATAGAGGAAGGGAGAGAGAGAGAGAGTGAGGGAGAGAGAGAAACATCAATTTGTTGTTCTACCTATTTATGCATTCATTTGTTGATTCTTGTATGTGCCCTGACCGGGGATCAAACCTGCAACCTTGGTATATCAGGGCAGTGCTCTAACCAACTGAGCTAGCCAGCCAGGGCTTATTAGTGTCTTTCTAATTACCATATCCAGTGGACACTTTCCAATATGACAATGTTTTTTAGCTCCTTGTGCAACTAGCTGGACCATCAATTCTTTCTCCTTCAGTAAGTACTTACAAGGCAGTTTGGCATTTAACACAATTGCTTTCTCGAACCTTTCCCTTCCTCTGTTTCTGTGACATTACATTCTGTCTTAATTTTAATCCTAACTCTCTGGTCCACCTCCTAGACTGAGAATAGTTCCCTATCAATTTCTCCTTCCTCTGTCTGCTTTTTGTATGTGAGTTTTCACCAGAACTCTGTATTCTCTGACTTCTTTTGTTTTTACTTTCTATCTTCCCTGGGTGATTACATTCATACTCAAGTTTTCAATTCCTCTGGGCTAATAATTCATAACCCAGCTTCTCCTGAGCTTCAGATCCATGTTTCTATATGCCTTTTAGAAGTGAACCCCCAACTTCAGCGTCCTCTAAAATCTGAAATTTAGAATTCTGACTTGTTTGTCTCTTCTTCCTTAGTGCTTATCACATAAGGATTTCACTAATGACTGTAGAAGGAAGAAAGAAAGGAAATAACTACTTTTTCCCTTTGATGTTTTTTATTTCCTTAGTGAGAAGCCACAGAAATGGAGAGTGGAAATAAATAGTGGTCAAAAAAAGGTGAAAACAGTTTGGCAACTGAGTGACAGTCTACCTGTAGACCATCTGAATTGCCACAAATCTGGTAAATATGGTTTGTAATCTATTTAGAGAAATTGAAAATGAAAATGAAATTTTACTGGTAGAGATTATTATTATAGGTCTTGTGCTCAATTTTAATATTTTTAATATGTTTTTATTGATTTCAGAGAGAAGAAGGAAGAGGGGGGGAGAGAGATAGAAACATCGATGAGAGAGAATCATTGATTGGCTGCCTCCTGTATGACCCCTACTGCGGATCGAGCCAGCAACCCCGCCCTGACTGGGGATCGAACCATGACCTCCTGGTACATGAGTCGATGCTCAGCCACTAAGCCACACCTGCTGGGCTCTTGTGCCCATTTAAATGATTTTCCTAAACTCTACATGTAAACATATTTATTCTGAAAAAAGGAATCATGAAAGAGTGCTTTTTTTCGTTAACCTGGATAGATCAAGCAGTAGGAATAAAAATAAGTTAAAAGATTGAAATGCCATACTTCACACTTTTGTGCACTGTTTAAAATAGTGATATTTCTGCCCAAATGTCTTCTCTGTGTCTGGAATAAGGGTTGAGGTTTCTAGTATTCTATCAAAGAATGTTTTTTAGCCTCTGGTGTAATTAGCTGGCCTATCAAGTCTGCCTCCTTTCTTAAGCACATATAAAACTGTAATCTTCACACATGTGGATTGTGTGGTGCTGTAGTCTTCTACTTGTATCTGTCTTAAATGACTGAATTCAAATATTGCAAGTATTATCCAAAATCAAATCTAGTGGTTGTAAGAAAAAATCCAAGATTTCAAAAGCCTATAGTTAACTATGGCTGGGAATACAAATAGTCCCATTTAAGTGATTAATATCTTGCAAAATTATTTCCAGAAAATGTTTATCCTTCTCCCCAAAATATATTTTAATTCAAGCAACTTCTCTCAACTAGAATGGAAACTTCTCTATTCATATGGCTGAACTGTATAAGTCCTAAAGAAACAGAAAGAATTTTCTTGAAAATCATCAGTTAGAATCATGCTGTCTTTTCTAAGTGTGATAGAAAACATAGAGTCTATATAAACGATTGAAATAAACTATATAAAAATAAAATAATTTCTGCATGGCAAAAAATACTGGAGGCAAAACAACAGACAAATGACAAATCAGGAAAATAAATTTGTAGCTCAAGTTCAGAAAAGGGGCTACATTCCCTAGTAAAATAATCAAGTAATATGGACAGTTTGACAGAAAGGAAATTCAAATGTCATTTAAAAAATAAAAGGTGATGCCTGGCTGGTGTTGCTCAGTGGTTGAGTGTCTACCTATGAACTAGGAGGTTCAATTCCCAGTCAGGGCACATGCTCAGGTTTCAGGCTTGATCACCAGTAGGGGGCGTGCAGGAGGCAGCTGACCAATGATTTACTTTCATCATTGATGTTTCTATCCTTCCTTTTGCTCTGAAATCAATAAAAATATTTTTTTAAAAATAAAAAGGTGCTGCCTTAGCCAGTTTGGCTCAGTGAATAGTGTGTCGGCCCTTGGACTGAAGGGACACGGGTTTGATTGTGGTCAAGGGCATGTACCTCAATTTTAAGCTCAATTCCCACCCTGGTTGGGGCACATGTGGGAGGCAACCAATCGATGTGTCTCTCTCATATAGATGTTTCTCTCTCTCTCTGTCTCTCCCCCTCCTTTCACTTTATCTAAAAAAATTAATGGAAAATATCCTCAGGTGAGTATTAACAACAAAAAAAAGTAAAAATAAAAGGTGCTCAGCCTAGCCAGCATGGCTCAGTGGTTGAGCATCGACCTATGAACCAGGAGGTCACGGTTTGATTCCCGGTCAGGGCACATGCCCAGGTTGCAGGCTTGATCCCCCAGTGTGGGACGTGCAGGAGGCAGCCAATCCATGATTCTCATCACTGATGTTTCTATCTCTCTCCCTCTCCCTTCCTGTCTGAAATCAATAAAAATATTTAAAAATAAATAAATAAAAGGTGCTCAACTCTGTATAATCAGAGAAATGCAAATTTATGTTATATGTCATGTTATCTACCTTCACCTATCAGTTTAGCAAAGATCTAAAAGTTAGGTGTCAGTGCTGACAAGGACATGGGGGAACAGTCAGTCAACTTCACACATTGCTGTGTGGAGTATAAAGTTGTACAGCTTCTTTGGAGGGCAATATCCACCAAAATTTTACAAGAATACATTTTTTGGTCCAGCTGTTTCTTTAATAGGAACTTATTCCACACATATAACCAGATGTGCAAAAAGACCTATGAACAAGATTATTGATTGCAGTACATAATGTTTACAGTAGCAAAATACTGGAGAAAACATTAATACGGGCATAGACAAAGGTCTGGAATGATACACCCAAATTCCTGAGGTGTAGCAAGGTGAGGGCAGGAATGATTCTCATCTTTGGCTGAATGTTAGAATCATCTGGGGAATTTTTAAAGTTTAAAGTTCTTATACCCAGACCAAGTAAATTAGAATCTCTGGAAGTAGAACCTGGAAATCAGTAATATTTAAAGTTCTCCAGGTAATTCCCTTGTGCAACTTAAGATTGAGAACCACCAATTTAAACATTTTATTTTATCTACTATGTTGTTTCTGGTGTTTTCTTTAAGATATATATTACTTTTATGATTAAAAAGTAAGTTTTAAACACATGAACATATGTGATGTATTTTTGAAAATGCCGTTTTAAAATTTTACTACATAAAGATTAAATGACCTCTGTCATGAGGAAATTCATGCAACATTAAACACCTTTTTCCAATGATGCTGAATAAGTGAAGGATACTGAACATATCTTTCAGTCTTTTTGATGCAGTTCGTTTCAAAAAAGTGAAAGTGATTTTTAATGTTAGAGTTAAAACAATTTGTTAATGCATTGGTGTAATGAGACCTATGAAAATAAAATTTTTAAATGAAATTGTATGTAAATAAATGAAATTGTGTGCTTAGAAACACACGCAAACTTCATTTTGGCTTGGATAATATAACCTCTTCTACCCATCATATATTCTTGATGTGTTTGTCTAGGAATTTTTCAGTGACCTTTGGCCCAAAATAAGACCCACTATTGAAGGAGGACCTCATTTATATTCAAAAAAAGCCCTGATTGTAAATATTAAAGCCCAGTAATGATTTTTTTTTTCTAAAGGTCATATGTATTAAGAAGTTAGACTTTCTATTTCATTAGACTAAACACTTTGCTTGAATACTAGTTTTTTAAGATATCTAGTGGTATTATACTCGGGAGTAGAACAGTTGATATCAAAAGCAGGAAGACTTAAGAGAGAAAAATGTACCTTTATCTGCCATGGGAAGAGAGAATACTGGTTTGGAGTTAATGGGGGAGAAAGACAGTGTCCAGTAGACTGTTGCTCACCCAGAGGGTGTTCAGGAAATGATTGTTGATAATGGTGAGAATATGGAACCAAAATGTTGACCCACAAGAAAGTGCACACAATCTCATCTAAATGTTAATTGTACCATTTATTTTGAAATACAACAGACTTCAGGAGGGAAAAAAAGGTATGTGTCTAACCCTAAGACTATAAATCCTAGGTAGAATATTTTTTCTGAGATACATATTTAAGATTAGAAAAAATTATTTAACTGTAGTGGATGAGGCACAAACATAAAAAATATGTAATTTTTTAAAAATCTGCTTTATACATAACTAATGGACATAAGACACTGGGGGGTAAGGGAGGGCAGGGGACTGTCAAGGGTGGGGTGAGGGGGGAAGGACACATATGTAAGAATAAAAAAAAAAGAAGCACAAATAAAACTAAAAAAAAAAAATCTGCTTTATATTTTAATTTGTTTAGTCATGTTTTCAATGCACCAAGAGTGTTTACTACTTAAAGGAATTGTTCTTGCTGCTTTTAGTCTAACAAATTCTCTTAAAGTAGAAGACACATCATTCAGGCTACCCCTCTATTATTGTAAAATTCAGCAGTGTACATGGTAGAAAAGTCAGCAGGGTGCAAACAATTCTGATCTCACTGTCTTTCTAGTTACAGATTTTTCTGAATCCATATTAAACAGTAGCCTGGAAGAAAGGATATCCTATACTATCATGGTTACCTGCAGCCAGGTGCATTTCAAGTGAAGTGTGCTGATGGGCTCCTCTATCAGGTAGTATGGTCACTGTTTGTTCTCTCTGAATACTTTGTAATGTGCTTCTCTACAACATAAATGCTGACTTAATACATTCGGAATCTAGATTACGTATCAGTAATCATATAAAAGACTTACCAAATGTTACTGGGCAGTGTAAGTCTAATTTCCTGTCTACTTTCTGTAGTCAACTTACTAGGTCAGTTTAATTCTAAAACCAGGGGAAAAAAAAACAATTTTTTTTGAGTGGAAATATTGTACCTTAAAGCTGGATATAGAGTAGAAAGAGTTTGATTTAAAAAATATTAATGGAAGAGAAAAACACTAGACAGGTGCATCAGTTTGACATTGAAAACAAAGATTTGTTAAAAGCAATTTTACCCCAGCCCAATTGTAAGACTAAATAAACCCCATTTAAAAAATGTTTGAGAGTATTAACTAACCAAAAGAATTAATGGAATAGCATTCCTACTATCTTAATGTTTTTGTGTTTCAGAAACAACATTAAATAATGAGTAATCAGATAATGAGTAAAATGCCTGATATTATGCCTTCTTAAGCCATGTTTTGTCCTCAGATAAATGGAGACTAATTTTAGCATAGTTAAGAATAAAATGAATCCTAATTTTAAAAAGCAAAATAACTAGTTAAAGAAAAGATATATAAATTAATTATATTTCTTTGAGATATTGAAATTAGGAAAGTGTATGTGCTCATTTGCTTGGTACCCACCTAAGCTTTTCCCTGGTTGCCTTATAGGATTTATAAACTGAAAGGATTGTTATAGATGATTGACTATCCATCATGTGTAAGACAGTGCTTAGATGGCATTTATTTCTACATTAAAGTTATGTTTCTGGACAGACTTAAAAATAAAATCAAGTTATAAAACAGTTTGTACACTGTGATCCCTTTTTGCAAAATGAAAATAGGTTCCAAAAAAAGAAAATAGGTGCGTATTAGACAGCAAAATATTAACTTTGACTTTGAGAAGGGTAAAATGACAGGTGATTTTTATTTTATTAAATGCTTATTTTTTATTTTTTTAATTCTTAAATCCCAGCATAAGACCAAAAAAGCAAAAAGAAAAAAATTACTATGGAGCCTGAAACAGACGTATGTAAATTTTTGAAGCAGAAAATGGAGGAAGAGCCGGAAGATTACTGAAAGATGAAGCTGCAAAATGGGTAACCCTGTCTCAGCTCTGGCTCCGCAGGAGGGACATTAGGAGAACTGCAGCGGTTAGTACACAGAGGGTACAGACTGTGGGTACCACGATCTCCGTCACCATCTGCATATGACTTAGCAAAGGCTCTGAAATGGAACACCACCACAAATGAGAATGTGATCATTTTAGCAAGTATAGTTTTATCCTGAAAGCTTTAGCTGTATTGGAAAAACTTGGAAAATGGCATCACACTTTCTAATTATTCTCACTTGCTATTAAAGAATTAAATGTTATAAAAAATTATGTGAGGTATTTGGAAATATTTCAGAAAACAGGACAAAGAATGCCTAAATTTGATTCTTCCATAGGTATTGTAATAAAGTCTTAAGTGTGTATTAATCCTTGTGCTGACCATAATTAATCTCAGATTATTAGCAGCTATATCCCATGGTTTTATAATTTTCACTGGGGGAATTTGTGAAAGAAAAATCCTTAGGAAACATTTCCAGACTTTCAAAGATGTTATTGTGTATCTTAAAAGGTATAGGAGTTTCTTTATTGCAACACAGTTACTCCTGAAGTGTTAAATGTTAAGCATATTTCATGTATGTGAATATAGTAGAGGACATTGATACAATACCTGCCTTTGGGTTTTGTGCAGTCACCCTGGTTACCAAGGTGAATAAGGCACAGGCCCTGCTCTTAAAGAGCTTATAAGCTCAACAAATTCCCCATCATGTCTGTACATGATAAAAGTTTATTTTTGTTTAATGGCATATGCATTCTTAATATTGCCTGGTTATTTAGATATAGGAAGGGGGATAGGCACAGTGGTATATTGGCCTATAAAAATAGCTGAATTGGTAGGGTTTGGTCTAGCACTATCCACCTCTGATACCACATTAAAGATGTGTTCATTAAAACACATCTTTAGCCTGGCTAGTGTGGATCAGTGGTTGAGCGTCGACCTATGAACCAGGAGGTCACAGTTCAATTCCTGGTGAGGGCACATGCCCGAGTTGGCTCATTCCCCAGGGTGGGGTGTGCAGGAGGCAGCCAATCAATTCTCTCTCATCATTAATGTTTTTATCTCTCTCTTCTTCCTTTCTCTCTGAAATCAATAAAAATACTATATATATATATTTTTTTTTTTTAAATCAGGAAGTGTATTTCTCTGCCCTTGTAAAGAGATAACAAAATTCAAAGAAACAAATTATATGTGTTGGCATTTCTTATTATTCTACGTCTCTGAGCTTTTAAAATCCCATTGCATAAGAAATGATGCCTTCTGCCCAGCCAGTGTGGTTCAGTGGTTGAGCATCAACCCATGAAGCAAGAGGTCACAGTTCAATTCCCTGTGAGGGCACATTCCTGGGTTGCAGGCTCGTTCCCCAGTAGGAGGCATACAGGAGGCAGCTGATCAATGATTCTTTCTCATTGATGTTTCTATCTCCCTCTCCCTTCCTGTCTCTGAAATCAATAAAAACATAAAAGGAAAAAAAAAAAGCCTTTTATCAGGTCAGGGACCTTGTTTTGTTCATTGCTGTATCCCCAGAGGTTAAAACACCCCCTTCCTAAAAGTGAGTACTTAACGATTACTTTCTGAATGAGTGAATAAAATATATAGTGTTCTTTGACTTTATTTCATTTGGTATAATGGTTGAATTTTCCCCTTTCCACAAAGCCTACTATAACAAAACTTAAAGATGTATAAGTTTACATTATGATTCAGGGAGAATAAGAATAAAGTGGATAAATTTCTCTTTCTGGTAAGTTTTTAAAATATGATTTTAAATGCTTATAAAATAGACATTTGTAATTGTCTTAAAATAAATTATTGTTAATTATGTGGTTTGGAAGATTGACATAGGGTAGGTCCACATTTTGAGATTTTGGTAATGTTATTATCTATGTAATTATGTAGTTTAATTCTCAAAGGGGAGAGTTAAAATATACTCACCTGCAGCAAGCATCTGATTGTTGATAGAGCATGTTTCCAAGGCTTTGAAGTACCAACTTTCCACCTAATAAAAAGCCGCTTGGTAATTAATGTTTTTAATCTGCTTGTAGATTAAATTAGTTAACACTTATTAAATACCTATGTGTGTCATTGTGAGGGTGTCAAAACGCAGTCTTTATCCTTAAGGAGCTTATAATCTAGTGCTTTCCTAGTAATGCAAGACTAGAGAATGCCCGAGAGCTGTCAGTCACCGTTTCCATGTCTCACTGGGGTCACCCTAAAAGAATTGGTAACTAAGTGAAATGTGTAAAAATTACTTTCATTAAGACATTCTAAATTACATGTTCTATTCCCTGTCATTAGGTACAGCAACATAAAGAGCTGGTAGAAAAAAATTATATGTTATTGAAAATGTTTGGTATGTTTTAAAGGATTATTACATTTAATTATTTTTAATCTCATTTGGAACCAGTGCATCTGTATGACTCTGCCTTTTGGTGGGAAGAGAAATGAACATTTGACTTACTTGACTTTTCATGTCTCTTAAAGAATTTGCAATATTTATTTACATTAAGATATAACATTTAGAAGAACATTTAACTTAAAGTCTTTATTGACTAATACAACCTAAAGCAAACAGGACTCCTGCATTATCATAGTCTGCCCTTAATGTTCTGCATGTTAGGATTGATTTTAATGTGTGCATAACCTGTTCTCAGCAAATTAGCAAAGAGGTTGTGTGAGGTAGGGTCAGAGACGAAAGGCCATGCTCCCACAGACCCTTGTCCTCTTTCAGGGAGGAAAGGGGAGAGAGGTGCCTGCCGAACTCTGTGTGCCCAGCTGCCCAGGTCTTCTAAAGTCCAGAATGAGTAAGAGGGATTAGTCCTACCTCTCTTGGGTTGGGAAAGCCATTGGCAGTGACAATCTTCTTGTAATATTGAACTGAAGCTTTTGGATACCGAGGCTTATTTCTGTTGTTAAATTCAACATAGTAGAATCCATATCTATTTGAATATCCTTTCTCCCATTCAAACTGATCCAACAGAGACCAGGAAGTATACCCTTTTATGTTAGCACCATCTTTTATAGCTGCAAAGACATTTTATTCCATTTTTAATGTATTACATTTACTTGGAAAAATAATATGAAGATAATCTTAAATGTTTTCATTTATGAGATTTAGAAACAAGTTTTAGTCAACCATGTGTATTATCAAATTTTGTTCAAGTTAAGTAGAAAAATATGTGAAGACAGTCTTGGTTTGTATCTCACCTTTTAACATTTCATTTATATATCCTTTAAGGTATTTAATTCTCCACTTGTCACATAATTGAGTACAGTGTAATGTTTGCGATGCTCCATTTTCCATCACATATATGGGAGGATCACCATATTGAGTCTGAAAGTGAGTCACAGTAACAAATATCTTTAAAAATCCAACTTACAGGTGGGTTTCTGATCTGAGGTACCTATAGACACACATGTTCAAGCCTGCCATATTTTAATCGAGTGTGTTTAGGGTTTAGTAAATGCCAGTTCACACGTTTAAATATATTTAGAGGTGAACGCAGGCAAGAGGCAAGTTCATTTGAAAGAATACGTTTCTCAAAAAATCAGCATATTGTAGAGAGAATATATTCATACCTTATTCTTTCCACATATTCCATTTCAGGTGAGAAGGGCAGCAGAATAACTAAATGTGGGATAAGACTTTTAGCTACAGGGTATATACATTGAAATGCTTATTTATAGTAGGCATTAGACTGTAAGGTCTATATTAGCCTTTGAAGTATGAGTAACTGCATTTGTTTTGTGTTGTTAATTTTAAATGTAAGCACCTGTGCTTAAGCTCTAAGACCATGAATTCAGGTCAAAAATGCCTTTTAAATAGCTTAATGTAATAGTCACCTGAGCAAAGTTGAGGAGCCTCCTAAATCCCCATGGCACAGAATATAGCCACTGAGACCCCAAATCAGGCCAGTTTGGGTCAACCAGTTCTACTAAGTCACGATCGTTCTGGTAGCTGGGCCCCCGGCGGGAGGGGTAGTTCCTTTCTGTGATGTACCGGGTCGTAAAATGACCTAATCCTAAGAAATCGGATGTGCCTTTAATGTAGCTCTTTTCTTGGAGTGAGAACACAGGTAACCTCGACACATCCAGGCCTTGCTCTGCACTCTTTCTTCCTATTGAGAGAGAAAAATAGAAGTTAACAGTGATTCTCACAATCATTTTATGTACCATGATGATACTGGCATGTTGACATAAAACCTTTTATCCAGATCCTGGGCTTTGGGATTCATTTGTATGGAAAATGTAACCTTAGCTTTTCAAACTAGAATTTTGACATTTGAATATGATCCAAAAATTTAAACGTTTGTATTGTTTAAAAGTAATACTTTCATAGATTATTCAGTAAGTGGTATGTTGACAAGTGTGTAGCCATCTGGAAAATAGTAGTGTTGGGTTCCTATATTATTCCTTACATCAAATATTGGTAATTTTAATGGCCCCTGGGAAAGGAACAGGAAGGCCAGTGGGAGGTGGGGCCATATGGTCACATTCATGCTGGGTAAGCTGGTACATCTCTGTGTTAGAAATTTTTTTAATTGATTTTTTTTTGAGAGAGAGATACATTGGTTTGTTGTTCCACTTATTTATGCATTTTGGTCTCTTATATGTGCCCTGACTGGGTATCAAACCCACAACCTTGGCATATTGGGACATCACTCTAATCAACTGAGCTACCTGGCCAGGGCTGGAAATTTTGTCATAGCTTTCAAAATTATAAAGGTATATGTCCTTTCACTGATCAATCACAAATCTGTTTATCCTACCTTTTATTCACTCTTGTAAAAAGATGTATGTACATGGACCTTCATTGTAGATTGAGTAGCAAAAGGTTAGAAACAATCTGAATGTCTATCAGGAGAGAATGGTTAAATAAATGGGGTATCTATCAGTACACGCTGCAGCCATTAGAATGAATGAGGCATATACCAACATGGAAAGAATACCAAGGTACATGTTTAAATGAA